GAAAAATATTCTAAGTCCAAATTAATTAAAAAATCGACTAAGTCCCGGAGAGTGAAATCTTGAGTAGAGTGTCGTAGATTTTGTGTATTTTAAAATCGTCAAAAGAACTGGTTTAGATGGGGAAAAATGGCTTTTTATAGTGTGAAGGGGGTAGCCCAGCGATCTCTACCGTGATCCTAGAAGCTGAGGCTTTGTATTTTAATTGGTTAATTAAAAGAGGGTCCCTACGTGTAGGCGTTACTTAATAATTTCTACAAGAGGGAGATTTTATTGTATAATTAAAGGGTTATTTTGTATCTTAAATAAGAGAACCCTGTTTAGGTGATCTTGTATAATCATAATATGTGACATACATGAACAAATGATAACATCTTATTATATATTAATATTATATGTAATAATATAATATTACACAATAATAAATAAAAATAATAATAAAATCATCAATAAATTTTAAACATGGTTCACTTGTTTAATACAATATATGAAGTTAAAACATGATGAACAACAAAAAATATTAAATGCACTAAGGAACTTTTATGCCACCAATGTTAGGTACAACAAATCAGGTATCGAAATTATCACTTAATAGGTAACTAACACATATGGGAAAGTGACGTAAAAAACTACTTTAAATATAAACCAAACTTACTTCAAATTTGATGTAGAATTTCAATTAAGATTGGCTTACAACCATAGTGATTTAGTAGCAATCAAAAGTATAACAATTTCTCCAAAGAGAGTAAGTAAAAATTATTGGATTAATGTAATCTATATAGTATTAAAAATTAGGGCTACGACAGATTATTCTGAAATTGGACTACTAAATAAATATAATGTAGAAACACCAAATAATAAAATTAGTACTCGATTGATGAAGATGACATTTGGTACTTAGACTCGCAACATGGCTTTAAAAATATCATCTTATGATAGATATAACATTTATAAATCATTATCCTTATAAATTTATAAAAACACAGTTTCAATAGCAATCTTAGCCCCAATTTCTTATACTGTTTAGATTAAGTTTATCCAATAGTTTGAACTAACTTCCATTGGAGACATTATTCACTACACAAAATAAACTTGAAGTTAATCAATTAAATATATCAAATCCATTTAAGTTTAGTATATATGTATAATTTTAGATTTTGATATCTTTAAATCTACATCATAGGGTTGAACATTTTTTTTTATGGGTGGGATAGATAATGATGCTCTAGGATATATATACTCTATTAGGATACGTGGGCGTTAAGATGATAAAGTTAAAGTAAAACATTTATTTGAGTAGGATTTTATAGTGTCAAAAATTAGTTTAGTAAACCCCAGAATCTCAAATCTTAGTTTATTTTAATATTAACTAGTTTAAACTGCATATTAAGATATTAGTAAAATTGGTTCTATAAATATCTAAGTTTATTTTATTATATTTCTATTTCCCAAAAGGATAATTGTGTACAACATCCATATAAAAAAAGATTCCCTTTTTAATTTGTTCACGCCTTTTGGGTATATAAGTTATATTTTTATGGATTAAATATTATCACATAATCAATTAATTAAATTTTAATTTCTATAGCCTCTAAAAGTCGATTATTATTTTAATTTAATTAGTCCCTTACTTTCTTCATTAGTGCCTAACTTTTAAATTAGTGATAAGTTAACTTTTTTTTTGAAATGTGAATTAAGTACTTAAAGTACAAATTTATAAATTTGTAAAGTGTGCAGTCTAAAAGAAAAAATATTTAGTTAATATATTAAAAAAAACAAAATACAAAAAAAATATAAAACAATAACATAGTAATGTAAATTGTTGAGTGAGTTAGATTAAATTGGCATATAATAGCCACTGACTTGCACACTTAGTTTAAATTTCATTATAAGTATAAGCAATCAAAACACAATTATTATTCATTCATAATGGCTTCTGCAACCAACCCAACCCAACCAAGGAAATCATTACCTGTTTGTGATACTAGAGAATATGGTTTATCAAAAGGAGAAGAAATCGTGAATTCTATAAAAAGATTTTCGGATACATTTGACCCATAAACTAAGATATATGTACAAATAAAAACTAGACTAGAACAGATAACAGTAGAATTTAATACTTATTAATATTAACTACAAAGATTGAATGATCGCGAGGAAGACCATCACTCGTCTGTTAAAATAGAGTTTATAGGAGCGTTGTGATACGAAGACAGCACTCCTAGAAATTTTGGAGATAAAAAAGAAAAGATTTTGCTAATATTATGGTAATATCTAAAGGCACATCAAGTGCGTGTGGCTTTGTAATATTACCTTCTTATGTCAGCTCCAAAATTTACTGGTAAATACAGGAATAACCATTATTGATCGTTGAGTTTAATGCTATGTTCCATAATAATGATAATATTGCACCAGTGCAAAAATTTCATTATTTGAAAAATTGCTTGAGCGGGTCAGCTGCAGATATTATAAAGATATTTCCTACTACAGAAGGGAATTATTCTCAAACATATATGACACTCTAATGAAACGACATTAAAATATTAGATTAGTCATTCAGTCGTATATACGGTCCATTGTTTGAATTTCCTAAAGTATACATAGCTTCGGCTGATGAACTTCGTTTATTACATCAGCATGTCACTTCACATGTTCGTGCTCTTAAGTCACACAAACAATCCGTCTAACATTGGGACATCTGGTTAGTTACTCTTATTTGTTTTAATGAAAGTGACAGTAAAATCTTTGTTAATCTTTTGGCAGTATTAAACTTATAACCCTTGACATTCTTTCTAGTAATCTCTCAGATTATTGAACCATGACTCCAGCTGATTTCTTGGTTGGATGTCCATTAACGTGCGCACTAGATTTAACAGACACCTGTGATCAGAAATTTGTTAAAACAATGGAATTTAGCTCGAAGTTTAATACAATCCTTCTGGAAAATGTGGAGTTTAGAATACTTGCCACAATTTCAGCAAATAAATACAAAATAATAATAAAACATACAAAATAATACATGGATAATGCAAAGTAGAACTGTAACTGTTGGAGAACTTGGACTATTAAAGGAAGATAATTTGGATACAATGAATTGAAAGTTGGCTAGAGCCATAATCCCTGGGCTTATGATATTGTTAGGGTGGTCAGCCTTACGCATCACCAACGAGGATTTTGATCAGGAATGAACATCATTTTTTTTATTTTATATTTAATACATTTATTATTGTATCACATATGTACAAATAAAATTAATTTAATTATTGTAAAAAATATTAACATATTTTGTAGTTGTTAAGTATGCATTATTGTATTAAGTTATTAATATGTCGTAAATTCATGTCAAGTATTGTGTGTTATATCCATGTAAATATTTTTAGTCTAATTATGTTTAAAAAATTATAATGAATTGTAATCTTATATGTTTCATAGTAAAAATAAGTTTAATGTTATTATGTGAATAATTGTCCTGTAATTGTAATAGTGTTAAAATACTAAAAACCAAAATCAAAAATATAAAAAATAATTACAAATTTTCATTCTAATTTTATAATAATCTTATTAATTTGTTTAATGGTTAACTTATACTCTAACTAATATTATAATTATTAACCAAGTAAAATCTTATTTTATATATTTATTATAGGCACTTATTAGCATTTAATACTATATTATTTTGACTTAAATACTCAGTGGTTGGCTCGTGTGTTACGAACTCATAATTATTATGTAAATATTTAAAGAAATTTATATTATTAATAACTAGAAAGTAAGAAACATTATAATTATTAGAAACTGTAGCATTTAGAAAGTGTAATATTGTTAATTATATCATTAATTGTTAATTATTCCTAATAAAAAGGGACCTGACCACCGAGTCGGTGGTCAGTGTTCAATCAGTAAATGTTACATTATAATTGTTATTATTTTGACTCTTTCTGACAACACTTATCCGCGTGATTGAACTTGGACTTAAAACACCCAGTTCATTACACGTGGGTGCTAGGGGGGTGTGCGACTTTAAATATAATACCACTAGTTATAGCTATAATAAATTGTCAAATTAAAATACAAAATAAAATATAATACAATAAAATACAATACACATATTATTTTAAAAAATATAAGGTTGCAGCTTAACCGTAACACGCACATAATTGTCTTGTCGCCTTGCTTATCACATACGTTTCTGCATGTTGTTCAGACGACTCTGTCGGTCGTCCAAATATTGCTCGTGTGTGCATGCGTACCCGCATATACTGAGGGAAACAACTTTAATGTTCGCACACAACAAATGTATTATAACTATTATATAAAATTTGAATTTTTAAATAAAAATGTAGAATTAACAATATACAATTAATTTTCTTCTTTTAATTAATTTTAGTAGGGGTGTAATCGTCCCGTCGTCCAAGCCACGAGCCGCCACTGAGTATATCAATATGAATAATTATTTAAACACCGAGACTTGCATAGAAATGCTTACTAAAACTTCTATTTAAATGATTTATAACAATAATGGATCAAATTAAAAAAAAATTTATATCAAATGAATGGAAAATATGTAAGGCTTTTATATAAAAAAAATTATTTTCGTTCGATCATTTTTCAAAAAGCTATGGAAATTTTAAGTACCAAAAAACATTGATTTTTTACACGAAAATTATATTTTATGTTCAATTTTGACGGTCATTTGAACATAGAAGATAGATTATCAGTACAATTTTTTTTTAGTATTAATTATACCATGATGTGTTTTTTTTTTTGTGTCTGTTACCACTTTTTCTCATCTCTTACTGGACCGATTTCTTTCAACAATACGTCAAAACATCACAAATCGTATCTACCTTAAGACAATATCCTTAAAAATTAAAAAAATTTCCCACGTTCCTGTAAATGGAGGAAATCTCCAAAAAAGTTACATATTTAAAAATTGCGAATTTTCGTTATTTTTTTCTTAAAACTACCATAATAATTTCAAAAATTAACAAATCAACTTGATTTTTTTTTATATTGAATCCTTAGATATTTTTCTTTTATTTGATATCATTTTTTTGAAAATCTAACCCTTAACTTGCTCACAGGGGTGTATTTAAAATAGCAACATTCGACTTATATTTGAAATAAATCGGTCCAGTGAGAGATGAGATAAAGTGGCAACAGACACAAAATATGCAATCAGCAAATTTTATTATTACTATTTATAGTAAAAAATGTATCAGAAAAGCTCAATATTTTTTTCCATTTTTATCTTAATAGATAACTTAAATAGAAATAATAGCAATCATTTCTTAGTAACTTTTGACTTTTAAAAAGATTCTATAATTAATTGAACTATGAATTGAATTAATTTTAATGATTTACTTTAACTAAAAAAACCAATAAAAAAAAAGTTGTTAAAAAGATCTACTCAATAGAGTGTATTATAATTGTAATAATCCATTGTTAATTCAGGAGAAATTAACGATTATTTTTTTTATAAATGATTTATATAGCAACATGTTACCAACAAATTTGGAATATTGTAGTCTAGTAGTTGCACACACAAATAGAGTAAAAAAATAGTAATTTAAGCTAGTTCAAATTTCAAAGTTATTTTTCTCGACTTAAAAAAAGCAAAAAAATTTAATAACTTTAACTTTCTATGCTATATCAATTTGATTTACAAAATATTTATGAAAATCAGTGTACTCCCCTTGTCAGGTATTTTAAAATAAAATAAAATACAAAACCTAGAATTTTCAAAATAAACTATATTACATAAACTTTAATTTAAAGTGTATATAAAATTGTCAGCATTTCCGGAACATTTTCAAAAGTTAAGTTGAAAATGTTCTACTTTCTATACGCATTTTCAAAGGTTTGAACCCCCCTGTATAAAGAGAAATGGTCAATAGAGTACAACCTGCTGTAAATTAATTAATCATTTAACTATGAAATATATTATATGTATATTAAATATATTATACACGAGTTTCTTTATATATAAGTAAATAAAATTGTATAATTTAAGTGAATAATCGAAATATCACATAAAAATACATATTTTTTAAATAACAAATAAGATTGCAGTTCTTACTTGAAAATTTGCCGCTGTCGGAGCTTGTTCAACGCTTTTTTTTAAGAAAGCTGTGTAACTATTGGGATTATTAGGTGTTTTACTTAATAATAATCTGTAATGCATACGATGTGCGAATGTTTGAAAGAATTTGAACACAAAAATAGCATACTTTTGAATATGGTAGCCATTTTCACTATGAAGACAAACTATATTTCGATTTTTTTTTTTCAAATTAAAGTATATTACATAAGCTTTAATAAAAATGGAGTTAAAATTAAAAACTAAAAAGAAAAAAAATTGTAAGAGTTTATTGTTGAGTGATATAAAGTGAGAGTTAGTTAATTCAAATTTAGTTCACAAATTTACATAGAAGAACTTCGACAATGATGATCACGACGTTCGAATAACTTAGTATTGAGCACGATAAGAAAAGGCAGGAATAAGGACTTGCTCTGCCTTTTTATAATATTTTTTACCCCCGAAAATGATCATTGTCTAATTCCTACAGTATAATTGTTTATTGATAAATAAGCATAAAGTACAGAGATTATTACACATGAATAGAATATTCATTCTATTCAATTTTGAAATTTATATATACAGGGTGGCCCACAACTTACTGACAACTTAAATAACTTTTGATCCAGTTAATATTTTTANGGATGGCCCACCACTCACTGACAACTTAAATAACTTTTGATCCAGTTAATATTTTTAGTTGATTTTTTTTTTAAATAATAGTTATACGTTAGGTCTATAGGTATATCTCAATAACTAATTTTTTTATATTTTATTAAAAATATTAATTATTTTAAAATTTTAAATAAAATTAAAAAAAAAATCTAAGATAGCTATTTTGTAGAGTAGAATTTAAGAAAAATTTTAGTAAAAAAATATCTTATTAATATTCAGTAGTAAATATTCTGTAGCATTTTAAAGTTTGTGAAAATATGAATTTTCATTTACTATTTTACGGTATTAAACATTGAAATACGTATTGAGAAAAGGACAGAAGAAAACGCTATCTTTTCATGATTACTGTGTATACATATGATGATAATGTGTATACATTACAAACATGGCATTAATACCATGATAAGAAATTAGATAAGGCAATTATTACTTATCACTCTCATTCAAAAGTATATTGAAAAGATAGCGTTTTCTTCTGTCCTTTTCTCAATACGTATTTCAATGTTTA